GACACCGTTGCCCACCATTTGGCCAGCTCCACTTTCCCAACACTGGTCCCTCCCTTGGCTCTCTGTCTCCCAAGCTTCTCTTGCTCAGTCTGTACCTTCCCACATGGTACCTCTCTCCTCTAACGGCCTAACCCTATCGCCCAAGGCAGTAGGCCCCTGACCCGGAACAGCCCCTGCCTCCCAGTTCTTCCCTGAAAGCCTCCATGCACCTGGAAGGAAAAGCCCACTTTAATTCATCATTGTCCCCCAGCTACTCCCCAGCTTTGCTTTCCGTCCCTCTGGGTCACAGTTCTCTTCCTTACACACACACACACACACACACACACACACACACTTCTTGCTCTAGCATCCACACACCCAGACTCACACAAGTATAGGTACACATGCTTGAGGTTTTTTGATTTTAACTTTTTTGTCTTGTTTTGCGTTTTTGAGAAAGGGTTTCTCTGTGTAGCCCCAGCTGTCCTGGAACTCTCTCTGGAGACCAGGCTGGCCTCAAAGTCACACAGATCCGCCTGTTCTGCCTCCCGAGTGCTGGGATTAAAGGCGTGCGCCACTGTGCCTGACCTGTTTTAACATTTTTTGAAGACTTATTTTTGTTAATGTGTTTATGTTCCTGTCTGTATGAGTTTGTAAGAGAGTGCGCTGCCTATGGAGGACAAAGGCATCGGATCCCCTGGAGCTGGGAGCCTGGGAACCGAACTCCAGTCCTCTGCAAGAGCAGTACAATGTGTCTTTAACCACCAAGTCATCCCTCAAGCCTCTAATGTATTTGTTTGCTTGTTTGTTTGTTTTTCAGACAGGTCTCTTGTAGTTCTGGCTGGCCTCCTGGAGCTGAGGATAACTTCTGATCTGCTGATCAGAATTCCAAAACCTGCTGAGTCTCTTGACCCCGTCTCCAAAGCAGTGGGTTGATAGGTGTGTGTTCCCATCCTGGCTCAGGCAGGGCTTCCTGTGTGCTAGCTAAGCATTCTACCAACTAAACCATATCCTCACCTTGCCCTGCAAGGCTAGTCTTGAACTCCTGATCCTTCTGCCTCCACCTCCCAAGTGCTGGGGTTCCAGACACTGTACCACCATACCCAGACCACCCATGCAATCTTGTACCAAGACACTTTTCTGTCACCTGCTGTCATGAGCCTCACCTATGACTTCACCACTCCAAGACACAGTCTTTCCAGTCTGTGAAAGGGACACTGAGCTAAGCACATGAGAGCGCACGAAAAGGAACCTGACATGCCATCAGCACTGTCTGTGGGAGAAGCATGTGTATTTATTTTTATTTTATGTGCATTGGGTGCTTTGCCTGCATGTAGGTTTGCGTGAGGGTGTCAAATCTTGGAGTTACAGACAGTTGTGAGCTGCCATGTGGGTGCTGGAAATTGAACCCAGGACCTCTAGAAGAGCAGTCAGTGCTCTTAAAGGCTGAACCATCTCTCCATCCCTGAAGCATGAATATTTTAAGACAGGATCTCCCTGTATAGCCCTGACTCTTCTGGAACTCACTGTGTACACCAGACTGGTCTCAAATTCACAGAGACCTGCCTGCCTCTGTCTCCCGAATATTGGGATTAAGGAGTTGTGCCATCGCTGCCTGGAAGTCCCCATTTTCTGTATTTTTTTTTTAAGGCTGAGTATCGATAATCTGTCGGGAGGACCCCCAACCTTCAATCCCCCTGCCTCAGCCTTTGAGTAATTGAGATTACAGACCTACACCAACACACTCTGCTCATGAGATACAATTTTGAATGAACACACAAAATAAAAAGCTATGTGTGAGCACACACAGAGAAACAGCCTCTGTTGTAGCCACACACTTAGAACTTTTCATACATGTACCCTGTAGGGAGCCACAAACACATACATGCCCACCCAGAGAGCATGGCACACCTGTGATTCTAGTGTTTAGGAGGTAGAATCAAGAGGATCAGGAGTTCAAGGCCAGCTCGGGCTACCTGAGACCCTGTCTCAAAACAAAACAAAACAAAAAACTTGACAACAACAAAAAAAAACACAAGCCAGGTTGTGGTGGCTCACGCCTTTAATCCCAACACTTGGGAGGCAGAGGCAGAGGATCTCTGTGAGTTCGAGACCAGCCTGGTCTACAAGAACTAGTTCCAGGACAGCCTCCAAAGCTACACAGAGAAA